GGATTTTTCCATAATCTTTTACATTTTTCACCTACACCTAACTTTGCTAGCTGTACATTTTAGCAGCTTGCTTTGGCCTTCTTTTCAAAACATTTAAATTTTTTGTAGAAACAACAGCTTTCTTCGCACTTGTTTATTTTTAAGGTAATTATAATTAAAAGTGCAAATGGCGTAAGTAGGTTTCAGAAAAATCTATGTCTTTTGGTGAGTGTCTAATTCAAATATCAGGGACGTGGTGTGGACATCATAGAGAACAGCCTACCAGCCTTGTGTCGGGTCAGTCTTCACAACAATCAAGGTGTTCAGCAAGGGTAGAGAGTAGTGGAAAGGGAATTAACTGGAGGCTGGTTAGAAGAATTTCTGTGGCATCCAGTTAAGTCTTCCCTTGCATTTCTACACATGTGCCTTTTTATTTACCAACTCTTCTGCTTTAGGAGCCTTGTCATTTTATATTCTTAGATTGAGTGACTTAGAAAGTCAGTATAGTATTAAGATTCACAGTCACTTTTTAAGGCTAACTGAAATTATGATTTGTGATTAGGAAAGCATTTTTAAATCTCTGTAAGATATTTTAAAAGAGACTTATAAGAAGTAAACTTTTAACAAGGGAGATGACCTTCAGGATTTTGCCTACGGAACCTAGTTTTTTTCCTTCCTCTTCTAGAAAGTGGCAGCAGCATTGATACGTCTGCTAGTTTTGGAGAATATATTTCTTATACCATCCCATGATATTTATCTCTTAGTAGGAGCATATATTAAATACCGAGTTGCAAAAATGGTGCAGGGAAGAATGACAGGTAAGGTGATTTATCTTTTCCTAAGATTAACATTTCCCAAATCCTTCCTGCTGACAGTAAGAGAAGCAACTCCACCTTATGTATACAAATACTTCTTTGTGTTTTTGGATTTTGTGGTAAAGTATTCCTTAATTGCTGTACTTGAGATAATACTGGACAGAGATAGTCCCCATGTCTTGAACAGGCGAATGCTTAGCGCCAGTGCCTATAGGCATCTGAATTCTGTTAAAACAACAACCAAATATTTAGTAGATTTTATAGGGCAAGTGAGGAAACTTTACCAGAAGGGACTTGAATGATCTTTGCAAAAGTTGTTTCTTGAGAAACCCAGTTCATTCATTGAAAACACCCTGTTGACCCTAGACGTCCCACTGAGTTGATAAAGTGTGCGTTGGCTCCCTTAACATTGGTCCTTTCCTTCCTTCCTTAGTGGGGATCCTTCTTACTACTTTCACTTCACTGGTTTTTAAGAATGCAAGCAATACCAATGATAAACTCACATAGTACCCCCCCAAATGGCTATGTCAAAATTCATCATAGTGTGAAGGGAAGTGTAAGCAGATCATACTCTTATTTAGGCCTGCTTCCTGATTTTCCTCGTATAATCCAACAATACACTGTTGTCCTTTACAACAGTGTAAAAGTGGCTGTTCTTGGGTGGGAGGATGGGTTAGCCTGGTGGTGGGTATTGAGGAGGGCACGTTCTGCATGGAGCACTGGGTGTTATGCACAAACAATGAATCATGGAACACTTCATCTAAAACTAATGATGTAATGTATGGGGATTAACATAAGAATAAAAATAAATAAATAAATAAAATCTTAAAAAAAAAAAAAAGTGGCTGTTCTTGTTACATTTATGTATCTTTGTCTTACAGAGGTGGGATTTCCCCTAGAACACTATACACTGGAATTGCAAGACCACAGAGTTGCATGTAACTGGTCTCTTTCTGGGAAAGTGGCTTTACTGGATGAGAAAAGAGCTATGGTGACTGCTGTCCAACTGGGCCAAACTAACCTTGTCTTTGTCCATAAAAGTATCCTTTTCAAGTTTTAGCTGTCAGTCTGTGTTTCCTTGAGCATGTGAGACATGTTCCTTGGTAAAGTAATTTGCTAAGATTATACTTATTTGGTATAGGCTTTATTTTTAACAAAGGACTATAAATTATTATAGTCATAATTTCTAGCAGAGGGTAGGTGGGGAAAAGAATAGTTGGAACTTGGTTTCAGTGCTTATTTGCAACCTCAATTAAATCATAAAGAGACTGGGGAAAACAGCTTGAAGAAACTTGTGTGGATTTTATTTAATTTGTTCTTTCCCATTTCCACATGAATAATTGAGAAAAGATGGTATGGTATTGTCTGCAGTAGATGCTTAATTAATATTTGTTAAATTGAGTTGAGAATAATTTTTAAAAATTGACTAACCCTGCTCTGTAAGGACTGAACAAAAAGAGAGATTTAGAGCTCTGTTATAGTCAAAGAAAACAAAACAGAATGAAGATTTAAACTCCAGAAAATTGAAATGTTTGGACTCCATTTCTCAATGTTTGATTTTGAAATATTTCCTATTTTTGAATATTTGAACCTGAAAGAAATTAATCCATTTAGCAAATATCTATTACAATCCTACAATATCCTCAACATCGTTCTAAGTGCTGGGGATGTGGACTGCTATTTTACTCAGAGTAGTTAGGGAAGTCTTTTTTGATAAGGCAACACTGCAACAGTGGGTCATGCAGATACCTGGGTGAAAGAGCTCCAGGAAGAGGAAATAGCAAGGCTGAAGTGCCGAGAATCGGGAAAGAAGGAGAGGTGGTAGAGTAGGGGAGGGAGTAAGTTATGTGGCACCTAGGAGGCTAGAAAAGTACAGTATTCCTTGTATAATCATATTAGTTACTATTTATATTACTTGTCTAAAACATATTAAGGAGGGTTTTTGGTCCAAAGTTGTTTGTTTCTTAGTCATTTTAAGGTGCATAGGACATTGGTCAACAGATACGATATAGTACCTACAAAACAAGCTAAGTCATTCAATATTTGAGCCCCAGCTGTGTGTCAGGTACTTCCCCAAATTCCCCAGGCACACTATACGACCTTTTTTTTTTTTTTTCATATTCTCAGTTCATATTGTTATTTATTCCAAAGTAGTAGATATTAAAATATATTTATCTATTTACATGTCTCCCTTGAGGATATGGATGGTGACTATTCACAATTTCTTTCTGCACCTTCCAGCACCATAGTGTCTTCCAGCACCATAGTGGCTGGTGGGTACTGTTCACAGAGATTGGGTAGAGAACCAGAGAAGCAGCAGGTTTAAGGGAAAAGAAAACTAGATTAGTTTTTCACAAGTTAACCTGAAGTACCTGTGGGATAGACATGCCAACAGATATTTTTATTTTTATTTTTTTTAAGATTTTTTTTTTTAAAACATTTTATTTATTTATTTGACAGAGAGAGAGCACAAGTAGGCAGAGTGGCAGGCAGAGGGAGAGGGAGAAGCAGACTCCCCACGGAGCAGGAAGCCTGACATGGGGCTTGATCCCAGGACCCCGGGATCACGACCTGAGCCGAAGGCAGACGCTTAACTGACTGAGCCACCCAGGCGTCCCTAAAGATTTTATTTTATTTATTTGAGAGCGAGAGAGCTCACGTCCGAGAGACCACGAAGGAGGGGGAGGGACAGAGGGCCTGGATCATGACCCGACTGAAGGCAGACACTTAACTGAGCCACTCAAGTGCCCCCAGCAGATATTTTTACTATGCATCTGGAGGAGAAAGATTCAGGATAAAGAAAGATATTTGAGAGATCAGTCTATAGATAGGTGATAGTTGAAGCTGTTGCAGACAAAAATCACTTAGGGAGAGTATATAGAGTGAGAGGAGAAGAGGACCAAAGACTATGTAATGCCAGCTTTTAAGGTTCATATGGAAAAAGAGGAATTCTTTTTTTTTTTTTTCAATATTTTACTTATTTGAGAGAGCGAGAATGAGTAGGAGGGAGAGGGGCAGAGGCAGAGGGAGAGAATCTTAAGCAGACTCCACACTGAGTGCAGAGCCTGCACGGCAGGGCTCAGTCTCATGACCCTGAAATCATGACCTGAGCCGAAATCAAGAGTTGGACACTTAACCTACTGAGCCACTCAGGCACCCCAAGATGTGAGAACTTTTTTAAGAGAAGAGAAACTTGAACATGTCTGTAAGTAAACAGAGAAAGAGCAGAGATAGGGGAGAAAGGAGGGTCAGTTGATGATGCAACAAGGTTTCTGAGGGGCAAGAGAAAATGAGATGCAGAGCAGATGGAAGGATTAGGTGGAAGATCTCTTATTCTGACAGAGGAGGAATGAATTCGTTTAGAGATCTATCCAGATCTGCTTCCTCATCTGTAAAGTGGAGGGAATGTTGTGTCTCTGAATTTCCTTCTAGCTCTTACATTTTATGAATGTTGTATTAGAGTATATATCAGAATCAAACCTAGATTGGCACAGAGGTGCCTGTACGGTCTCTCAAAGATTTGCTTTAATGACTACAGAAAAGTAATTTTTAATTGATATATCAATTGTATATATATCAATAGCTCATTTGGAATATTGAGGCAGTTTTGAAAGTTTGATCCCTCAAGTGGATTAAATATTATTTTACTTCCATTATCACGATGGATTACTGTAGTGGTAAATTGTAATCTAGCACATGACTGAATTACTACAACTCTTAAATTAGTGTACTTTGAATGAGTGTTTTCTTTTTTTTTTTTTTAAAGATTTTATTTATTTATTTGACAGAGACAGACAGCTAGAGAGGGAACACAAGCAGGGGGAGCTGCAGAGGGGGAAGCAGGCTCCCCGCTGAGCAGGGAGCCCGACAGTGGGGCTCGATCCCAGGACGCTGGGATCATGACCTGAGCTGAAGGCAGATGCTTAACGACTGAGGCACCCAGGCGCCCCTGTATGAGTGTTTTCTGTTCAGTCATCTCAGTTATATATTTCTTCTTAGCTTTTGGGTGTAGTATATTTTGGAGAGGGAAGTATATTCCTAGTTAGATTCTGTATAGGACAATAACAGAATAAGTTTGTATTTTTGCTAGAATTTAACTGAAGGGATAGTGGGTAATATGGAGTATAAGTGACTAGGAGTATCTTTCATGACAAAGAGAAAACATTTTGGTAATAAAGATTTACCATAGATAGTGGAAAATCAACTAGTGATTTTTTTTTTTAAGATTTCATTTATTTGACAGAGAGAGAGAGAGACAATGAGAGAGGG